TATACGTTTCTTTTACAGTTTATTCTACTATGGTACTATTTACGAGAGAACCGATTTAACTGTCAAATCGTTTTTTCAATGAGATCTAGTGGATTATAGGTTATCGACTATGATAATTCCGAATATGTTCATGGCAGTTGCCTATAGGTCTTCAGCGATCCGGTTCTGGTAAACCAGTTTTTCTCTAAAGAATAACTAAAAGCTTTCTTCACGAGGCAAAATTGTAGCGCGTAGATTTCTGATTAAAATGAGACAGCTCCCAGCCCTACACGACCTTTCTTTGCAAAGTTACAGAATTTACAATAAAAACCTCAAAGGTTCATTGTCAGCTGAAAGCTACAGAAATAAGAGGAAATTCATTTAGGGCTTTTCTTGTAAATTCTATAACTTTGCAAAGAAAGATCGTGTAGAGCTGGGAGATGTCTCATTTTAATCAGAAATGTGCGCGCTACAATTATGTATCGTGAAAAAAAGCTTAGTTATTCTTTAGAGAAAAACTGATTTACCAGAAACCGGATCTCTGAAGACCTATAGGCAACTGCCATGAATATATTCGGAATTATCATAGTCGATAACCTATAACCCACTAGGTCTCATTGAAAAAACGATTTGACAGTTAAATTCGTTCCCTCGTTAGACTTTCTTATAATAGAAATTTTTCTGTTTTAACCCTTTTGTGACGGGGCCCGTATATTTACGGGCAGTGCATAAAACCTTCGTTACTTCACTTATTTTGCACCATTCTCACTTCCCATATATTTTCTAGCAAAAATAATAATATATTTGAGATCAGCAGACAAAACTGGGTCGAATAGCATACTTAATACTCGGTTTTCAATCAAAACAATTTCATTTGAAAATTTCCTCTCTAGGTTAGAGATGAGTGTGTAATCCTTCTTACAAAAGTTTCACCAACGTTTTTTCGAACCATAGGCTTTCATGATTACCATGTACATGGACTGCAAATTCTATAGTAGAAACTGCGACCCGTAGTTCATCACCGCCGCCCTTCTACGTATGTTTCAATCGTGAGTGCTCGTCCTTAATGAAGTTCCTGAATGACACAACGTGAACCTTCATACTTTGGCTAGATAATCTACAGATACTGTAGAGTCTTTGATACGAATTTGAAGCCAAAATGATGCTCTTAGACTGAGTTGTGAATGTCTTTTCGCAAAGAACCTTGAATTTTCAACAAAAAAAGCTAACCTCTTCCGTAAAATAGCTATATTTTACTGATTCCTAACAGTCAACTCACAAAATTCATATTGTAGATAGAGCAGAGTGTGGCTGAATTTTTGTAAAAAGAAACAGCTTTCATATCTCTTAGGTCAGGAGCTATTGACATTTCACGGAAAAGAAAGAAATTGCTTATATCTCATGAACCATTCAGTAAAAGAGGTGCAAACTTGGTGGGTGATCAGCATTTGGTAAGAGCTATGATCACACAAAATTAGAAGTACTTAGCTATCATGGCTCTTGAGTTACAGGGGTGTCGTATTATTTTTTGAAAAAATAATTCCGTCCTCAAAGGGTTAAAGAATAAAATAAGAAAAGAAAAAATTTTATATTTTCATCAAATGTTCATCTTTGATATATTCAAGGAATAGAGTGCTCGCTCTAAACTTATTTCGGATTATACCAAGTTCGCGAATTCAAATTACGTTAACTAGAGATGACCCATTTTCATTTTTTGTGCGAAACTGGTATAATACGAAATAAGTTCAGAGTGAGCACTGTATTCCTTGAATGTATAAAAGATGAACATTTGATGAAAATATAAAATTCTTTCTTTTCTTATTTTATTCTTTAACCATTAAAATATTTTTCTTTTATATATTCAAGGAAGAGAGTGCTCACGCACATTTTCATTGCATTTATAGCGAGAAGTGCTCATCGAGGCCGTCACAGAGTTTTTGCAGTTACTACAATAAATAGTTTATCGGACAAAGTAACCTTTTTTATTACCATAATGCTATTAACCCGATTTATCGATAAACAATCTTTATCGGTGGTAATGAGCTACTTTATCGAAATAAAGTAATTATCGCTGAAACTAACTATAAAAACTTCGTGAGGGCCTCCATAAAACAAGCACTTATCGCGATAGGTATATCGAAAATATCCTCATGGGTGGTAGATATCTATTATCATTATAGAAAATTTCGGCCTCCTGTCCCTATTATTTGCTAAGTTATAGAATTTTCCTTGTTTTTAGGGAGAACTTATGACCGTTACATAGACGGACAAAAAATGGACATTTAACGTTTAATTCATCCTTTTGTTTCGCTGGCCTCACTACTATATATCTCGCGTTGTTTTCTCATAGAAGGAGCGTAGAGTTTTGCTCTTCCTCGACTAGAGGCCAACAATAGATAAACGGATAAAAATAGATAGTGGTGGATTGTACAAATAGACACAGAAAAAGACGAAAAATCACTCAAAACAGGGAGAAGATCCAGTAACGAGGGCAGAAAAGAGAATGCTGCTGGCTACGACAGATAAACAACACTTATAAAAAAAATTCTTTATATACGACATTATCTAATGATCTATTCATCGTTTCGTGCTCACAGTCTCGAGTTCGTATCTCACTTTTTAGCTTTATCTAGTAAGTAGAATGTTTCTGTATATGATCTAACAATAAATGTAGATTAATCTATTGGCGAATAAAAAGCATTGAGATGGAAGAATCATATATTGCTGATTGTTAATTTTTACAGAAAGATATATAGGTGAAAAAGAGAACTGTGATTATTTTTGAAAATAATATAGACAAAAGTTCTACTAGCCTTGTCGGATTTGGCTCAATTTAGCATCGAATTATCCCCCCGAGTGTCCTCTTCCATAACCTGAAAAGTCCGAGTCTATGGTCATTTTCTTCAAACGTTGTTCGAAAATCATCGGACTGTCTGTATGGTAACATAGTACTAACCTCAAAATTTGGAGTGATCCATGAACGGGTTTTCAGAGGGTTTCTAGAGCTGATTTCACCCTTAAGGCTTGTCAAACCAACCCTCATAATCTAAACAGACTGTATTTAGCTATTCCAGAAAATTTCATGTGACTTGAATGAAAATTACTGGTTTTACGAAGGCTGTACTTTATCGTGGGCCCAAGCCAAAACCTTTTTTTTACAGCATCATCTAAAGCTATTTTACTTTCCATAAGGAAAGAAACATTGCCACGATGATCAGGAGCCTTTGTGCCATGTTATTTTGAAATCAGCAGATCGAGGAAAAGCCCGATCCTTATGGTTCAGAGAACTCTTTACTTCCTAAATAAGAAATTCGTTCGAAACCGATAGTATTCTTATAAGAATGAAGACATTTTTTTTCGACTAAGGCGGTACCTAACTCTTCTTACCTTGACATGTGTTCTTTTAGTAGAAGAGAAAGTTAAAGGTGTAGAAAAAACGTTTCATGTACTGACATTCATGTGGGTACATCTTTTATATCACTTTGTCTCTTTCTACACTATAGTACGTGCGTCAAGTTGTTTCTTCTGTTATTGATCAGCGTAGAGGTTTTAATTACATATCCGATTGACAGATACTGACTCTTGTGTATAGCTAGCTATTACTGCTTCCACCACAATAGTGTTGTGAATATGAATATGCTATGCCTTTTATGGAAAAGGGATTTGACACTTAGGAATGTTTCCTCGTTACTGGATTCTTCAGAGAATATTTATCGCATTGCAGTACAAGCATTATTCGTCTCCTTGATCATAATACATCACTTTAATGTATCTTTATATCAGTTGCGCATGATTTCTTTCTAAATACATATACCTTTTTCTATACAGACGTAAAGCCAAATTAACGTAATATCATGTGCTGTATGAGTATGACACTTATTGATGATATGTGTTGCAAGAACACCATAAGTAGCATTGAGAAGAATGACACTCTGAAGGGCATCCTTAAACTGAAAGAAGACATTACTGTCACCTACCATGCTTCATTTATCCGCGACATTGCCTAACGGGAGAAGTTTTTTGAGTTTTCTTAATAAGTTCTCTTCAGTAACGTGATGGTGTTTATCTAAAGAATCGATCGGCACAGGTTTCACTTATCTCAGCTATTAACGTTCGATCTTTTACCGTTATCAAAGCACTAAGTGCTTTCTTTTTATAAGTTTCATGGTCGACAACTATCTCCACGAAATTGTGATGAATAGTAAGCGAGGAGACGATTTTCTTAGATAATGATACATGTAATTTTAAACAAGCGATGATTGAATCTTATTTTTGATTTTTCAGCATTTTTTAAATTTCAAAAATTGATTTTTTTCTGGACGATGCAGAGCACATGGTATCAAACGTGGTTGTTGTAGAATTGTCAAGCAAATACTGTTGAGTGTTACGGTAACCATCCTATCTGATCACTAGAAAACATTTATAGATCTTTCCATACCATACCTGGAATTATTTGTACATAGAAACATGCAAAATTTTGCTGACTTCAAAATATCATGTAAACGGAGTTTAAGAACCTATACGTACATTGAGCTAGTGCCTAATACTTCCCGGTTTCACTTGCCGCGAGTTTAATGAAGGATTTACTGCTGTGGTACTATATACAGAATCATACTACATTTTTCATTAGATTGGATACAATGCTAAGGTGTGAAATTATTCATAACGTGGAAAAATATATTGTACAATATTTTGGATCAGTGTCATTTGATTACTAATCTATTTCGGTTGCTTTTATAATTTACATGGAGGATATGAAACAGTTTACTGATCTTTCTGCAAACAACACGGTGAAGCTAGTTAGTCACAACTGTACTGAATGCTGGTTAATACATTCGAAAAAAACGTGTACGGGTTGGAAACAAAAATTTTTGTTTCGCTCGGATGAGCCAGCGATTATAATCAGAACGACAACAGAGAAACGCAAATGAAACGTACGTTTTTTAATGTAGTAATAGTAACGCTGATATTTCAGATTAAGTCAGCTACCTAAATCACAAATAAATAAAGATTATTTGACAATGACTTCATCGCAACCATCAAAAATAAGCACAACCATACTAGCTGCTGCTGTACCGATAAATCCATCCGAAGTATCGAGAAATTCATCCGATATGCTACAATATTTGAAAACTGGTAGTAAACTAATTAAGCATACCGCTACTGGGAAAACAAATCCGAGACAATATTATTTGTTGAAAAGCGAAGATATTGTTTCTTGTGATGAACCAGACACGTTATTTACAAAATCAACTAACTGTAAGCAACGTTATTTTGTTACCAATCTGTGATATTGTCTTGTTATTCAATGCATTTGCCTTGATTAGATATTTCACGTGCTTCATGCTCATTAGCAACACATGGCGATAGAGAATATCGTTGTGTTTGAGCCTTTTAGTGATATCTTAATCGCAAATTTCAGAGCATTAGTATTTCCTGTTTTTTCGGCATCAGAATAAAGTCTGCACCCTACACTGAACAGATGAAGAACTCTATACTCACTCTATCGAAGCTCTCCATTTGACATTCGCGCGTTGTGTCATCATCTGAGAAAAAGGACAGATGAAAAGCACAATTGTTACGTTAAATCCATGTTTTCATCCACGTTTTTTGCTTACATGCTTTAATGAAGAGTGATCTAAGGCTAATCACAGCTTAAGTTCCGATATACTTGTTGAAAGAGTAATCCGTATGCTGACTGCGCTTTACACAGAATAAAAAAAGTTTTGTGAGCTTGCTTTTCCTTCACATAAATGTAAAGGGCCGGAAAAAAGTGGGTAAAGTTACAAAACTTCATTCAGTGAAGAAAGATCAGCGCGTGCATGTTTATGTTGAATTTGTGGATTACAGTCGAGAATTAAGGTTATTTTTAGGCGGAAAACATGACCAAACATTAACATTAACTTCAGAATGAAGTTTACTCTTTCGGTAATACATCTGGTTGTGTCTGACTGAAGCAAGCTGGCCTTCTCGGCTATGTTGTTCGTCACATAGATCAAAAGTACTGTACCCGGGAGAAAAATCTTGAATGCAGATCTTGATAAGTCTTTAAAGATTTCTCAAGTTTCGCTCCAGATTTTTCAAGAACTTGTGCAGATTTATCGAAATCTGTCAAGATTCTGAATGGAAAGCAGTGCTACAGATTTTCCACACAAGTTCTGTATCAGAATCTGTCTTTATAAATCTTGAGCAGATCTTGTCAAGATATTTCAACAATTCTGAAATGATTAATTTAATACGCAATAATCAGAATCTTCATTAACAGATTTGGGAATTTGAAAGAAAATCTTAAACTTTATTTTCTACTTAATATTTTCATTTTTTTCTACTGTATCACTACAGTGCAAGCTCTACGGTACTATGCATACAGCACCAGAGCTGCTGAAGGTGCACGAGCAACCATACATCAAGAAACTTGACAGATCTTGTGCAGATATAAACTTTCTGCAGGACATGGGACGTATGGACGTGAGCATCGGCAAGTCATGCACTATTCGCGAACAAGACACCTATGTTAGTGTATTCCACATTATCCGTCCAAAAGTATGATATTGCTCGCAACTGACAAGTCTGGCTGGTTATCACCCTATATCGACAATAGTAGCCGGTAGCCAGATACTCTTCCTTCCTTGCAGATGACTGTAAGAGGTGTGTTTTTATCTATTGAATGAGTTTTAATAGTACTTCCTTCTAGTAGCTAACCATTCTTCTATATATTACTTTGTACAGTAGACACAATCTGAAAACGCACAGCATGGCTAGGACCAATAAACATTCCCGACCTGCGGACTTTTCGTTTGAGATATTCCATCCATAGTATCAGAATTAGCCAAATATTCTTCCTGTTGCACCTAACTCGAATCGAAAAGTGACAATACCTTTCTATTGCTACTGTTTGACTCTACAGTAGCCTTAAGTAACAAAAAATGTCAATAGCTTCTTCTTGATATCCAATGGAATGACAATAGTTTCAGAAACTTGGAGCCACCATTCTAAACGGTAATAGACCTACCGATTTCCTTTTCAAACAGTAATGAAGTGCTGTGGTAGTTTTATAGTCTTTTTTGAGTCAAATAATTTCTTAGGCTACGGTGGATTAATGATACACCTTTGTGAAACGGGTCTCTATTTATTTGTTGAATAAAAATGAACATTATTAACACTGCGGTATTTCTCTCGAAAAACGGTCATTATTCAATTTGTGGTAACAATTAGAATAACTATTTTATCAACAACATTGTTTACACTTATCTATCATTTTATTTAGATCTTATAAATGCAATAGACGAAATTCGATGTGGTTATAATTCGAGTACATTTAAAACATTATTACAAAACAAACTTGTTCATAAAGATAATGTAATTGAATTGAATGTTAGTAAAATTACTCTTAGAACAAAATAGTTCTCTTATTGCAGGAAAACTGTGCATTTACAATTATGTATAATAACCATCAACTAGCTCTAGATTTAATGGCACCAGATCAAACTTCAAGAGACACGTGGGTAAATGGTTTAAAACATCTTATGCATCGGTATACACACAAAGGAAAAATGAATTATATGCACACAGATAAGTAAGATTAATAGTTTAGTATACTTTTGATATTTGGTTTGATTTGAGCTAAACTCTACAAATCATCAAAAATTTTTGATGATAAAACTCGCATCGATGAAACCTTCTATCAAGTTATTTAGTTCTTTGTAGAAAACTAATAGAGATAATCCTTACACATTGATCTGCTCTCATGAATCTTCCGTATTCTAACTTCTGCTGGATCCGAAGCTGTTAGTTGAAAAACTATAGTCTGGCAACATCAAAATATTTGTGATTATTATTTATTTTTTACTTCTATCAGTCTCACCTCTGGTTTTTTAGTAACGTTTAATAGAAAAAGCATAGAGATCATTAGTTTTCATCGTTCAATAGCCAGAATCGCAGAACTTAATTCTACGAGAAAAAAAGATTTTAGAAGGCTGACTTTTTCGGTAACCTAAGTCAATGCTAGAGGTGTGTAACTTTTGAATAGGACAGTTTTTCATCAAAAACGTGCGCTGTGCTAAACCATAAAAGAAGGCCATGACCGTCTATTCTGGTAGAAAACAAAATGCACTGTTTTCTCTATTTCAGCTTTAAATGCATAACAGACACGTCAGATTGAGTATATATTGAAAGTCAGTGAATTCTACTTTGAAGATACAGGATAATTCCGTGGGTTCCGTCGATTTCCAAATTTTTTGACTAGTTTAACCTCAATTTTTTCAAAAGCTTCGAATTCCTAAGACTGTCCCCATATATTTTCCGTATCTATTTCACATAAAATTCGAGTAAAAATTCGATATCTCAGCGAACCAAGTTGGAGTGCTTCATACAAGGGGGAAAAAGCACCACTTCTCCACTTCACTTCACTTCACTCACTTCAGTCTAAACTCACTTCACTTCAGTCTAAACCCACTTCACTTCAGTCTAAACCCACTTCACTTCAGTGCAAGCCTGCTTTGATGATGGACACTGGACAATGACAAGAGCCAGTCAGCTCATAACAACAGAACTCCAACACTATGAAGACAGAGTGTCTTTAGCTGCTTATGCATTACTAATTCTTTTTTTCAAATTTTTTGCTAGATCTATTTATTGCGCCGCTCTCACGCGTCAGTTTTATTTATTACATGCATGAAAAGTGGATTGGCCTTAACTAATCCTTAGCGCTTAAGCTTTGCCTGTTTCCACGATAAGCAAAAATACATCAGTTATCATCTCTCTAATTTATTTACTCGTCTCTATCTTCCACTTCACTAGTTCACTTCATGGACACTTCAAAATCACTTCCACTTCACTTCAAGTGAAGTGGAAGTGAAGTGAAGTGGAGAAGTGGTGCTTTTTCCCCCTTGGCTTCATAGCCCATGAGGGCCTACATTTTAGGAAGAGTTCCATTCAAAAAGATTTTTAGCAGCTCAGGACGTTCCCTCGTGAGTGGTCTAGGTGACGAGAAAAGATGGAAATTCGATTTTGTGAAAAAAAAGGGCCTCAAAGTTGCGGAAAAGCCGACAATCCCGCTCTGTATTCGTAGTACTGTGTTTCCACTTTAAAAACTATTCCGGTTGATTTGTGTTCCATCAAATACAGGACAAAAAAACGATTTTAATACACTATTTAGGTTCCATTTTTCCTTTTGTTGTTGTTCTTTTTATGTACCTCTATAAAAGATTAAAACCCGGCTTTTTGGAGTGCCTTGTAATAGCACACGGGAGGATTGGGAGTTTTTACAACCATGTCACGAGCAAGCCCAATCTTTTTTCTATATAATTCATGAAAGAATTAAGACTCCAATTTATTTCTAACATAAGCAAATTTTCTGAACCCATAAAACCAGAAAACCTACAAGTCGATGTTCGGTTATCTTCGATGCCGATATTGTGGATGTTATCCATGGCTCTTTCATTTAAGAGGGGCCCGGCTTCTGCGATAAAAGTCTCGTATAAGCTGGTGGTGCCTCCATAGAATTACCCTACACTGTTTTTAATATTTAGTAGAAATAGTTTTAAGCCATTTATTTGATCAGAATTAGATTTTTTGCTAAATTTCCACAATTAATCTAAACAAGGATGCGCCATTAGTCACAGCATTCTGTCTCAGAGGCTGTCTCACGTTATCACGTCACTAGTTACCAAGCTTTCCGATTGTTTTTACTCAGGGTAGGAAGATTTCTTCGGCAGACAATCTTTTTAAATAGTCGGCGGACAGTTTTTTCCTAAATAAATGAAACAATTGTTAATTGAAAAGAATTTTTGTTACTTGGTAAAAAATTTAAAAGACTATCTGTCAATTATTCTGACGGACAATCGGAACTGCTGTTCCATCATCTGTGGTTTAAAAGATTCAACAAGTACCCGTATAATTTATATGATGAATGTAGTCTGGTTGATTTCATTTTAAATCAATACGTTTGATATTTTTCTTTTTCTTTCTATCTGATTGATGATGATTTATTGCGTGAGAAAGTGCCCGGGCCTGGTGCCCGCTTGCACTGTAATCGATTTCTTTCTATCTGTAATCAAACAATTCTCTCTCCCTGGTTGTACTTATATCTCTACTATCTAGATGTTTCGCAAGCATTGTCTGGGCATACATATATACTGCATAGAGTTCTTATATCCAATTTTCCTTACGTTAATATCACTGTTGCCATATATTTTTCTTGATAATGGCAAATATTTGTCGAAAGTAGCTATTGATAATAGCTGTCAGTCTTTTACAGTTCATCAAGTCAAATACTTGCAAGATAATCGCGACCTTTGTTGTATTCAGAAAAAAGTTGAACAAATTTTAGGCAGAACACAAGCTCCAAAAGTTTGGAGGACAGTGTCCCCACTTCCCCGCCCAATCGGAAACGCTGCTAGTTACCGCTTAGCTGCCACTTTGAAGGGAACACATTCGACCATCTATCCATGGAGGAAAAAAATAAATATTTCTATCGCAGTTTTTAGAGCATCGAGCTAGTTTTTCAAAGATCTGAACTCAGTTTTTTTCATAAAATCAAATGGTGCACTTTTGGTTGCGAAAACTAATGTTCTATCAAATGCTATTGGAAATTCATTAATAATTTCGAATGAACAATAGTCTAGTAGTTGTAACTGTATAAAAATGGAAAAAGCGTGGTGATCTGTAACATTTTATCATACGGTTGTTGCGGAAAAAGACTATGACATGTTGAGAGTAGACGAAGTGTTGGAAATGAAGTGATGACAAAACGTAAAGATCGAGTATTAAAATGTAGTTTAGCTAACTATACTAGTTGTTTGAGACTCTAAATTCAAGTATGTTTCTAAACAATAACTTTATTTAGTTGGATAATAAATCATTTTTATTCTGCTGATAAAGACGGATCTGGAACATTGACAAAACAAGAATGTCAACGTTTATTGACAGACGTACTAAATACAAAGATGTCCAATAGTTTATTTCAAACAATGTTCAAAGTAAGTTTTATATAGAGAGATCTAATACTAATAAATATGATTAATAATGGTCTATTTTTTGAGCAAGCTGACGTCAGTGGTGAAGGTTTATTAAATCAGGAAGAATTCATTGTGTTCTTCAAAACATTAACAAGACGACAAGATTTATTTACAATTATGCAGAAGTAACTTACACAATCATTTTTTTTATAAAAAATTTTTTATTTATTTTTATTTTGTTATCTATTTTTAGTCATGTTCAAAATGGTGAATCCATGACAAGTGATACAATCAAGATGAGTGCTCAAGAGTTAACCAACTTTCTGTTAACTGTCGAACGTGTTAGTCATTTAATAGTAGGAAGACGTTAATAGTGAGAAGATTTTTGTTTTTTTGTTTAAATAGGAATTTGATATTGTTGAAGATCGAGCCATAAAATTAATTCAACAATTTGAAGTCGATGTAGCATTCAAATCTCAAGGATTTTTAAGCATTGATGGTGGGTATGATCAATAATTATTAATGTTAATTCTTCTCTGTTTAGTTAAAAAATATAAAATAGCATTCATTGTCTATTCTAATAGTCCTACTGTTAGTTAAACTGTATTATTCGAAATAAGAAGAAAATAAATTAAGTTTAATCGTTTAACTAACACTATTTTTGACAAAAAATATCTTTGCGTCATCGTGAGAAAGTTTTCATGTGAGAGATATAAGTGTCTTTTAAATTTAAACAGTAATAATGAATTAATTAGCAAAAGTTTGAGAACTTGAGATGGGTTTATGTCAATGTTTTCGATATAAGTTTGGGGAGTGGGTGGAAAGACCGCTTGGTAGCTAAAGCTTTTTTGAATAACGCATTTTTTGAGTCAAATCTTTTTTCTGAGTAACTGCATATTTTAAACTAATTGAAGGCTGAAAATGAGCTTGACAGTAGTGTCTATTTCTTTCTTCATCATATTTTTTTTCGAAACAAGATTCATTAACAATACGAAGTAGTTTCTCAGGAAAAAATACCAAGTTACTCAGATGCTAGAAAAAAATCACTTACGAGGGAACCTCCCGAGGTGATAAATTGCTTTTTGATCGACATCTATTGGGTTATAGGTTATCGACCATGCTGATTCCGAATATGACCATGGGACTTCCCCATAGTTCTTCGAAGATTCAGTCTTCTAGAAAATCAGTTTTTCAGAAACCCCAAAAAATAATCCAAGTCTTTCTTAGCAGTTCAGGATTGTAGCGCGCACATTTCTGATTAAAATGAAACATCCCCAGCTCTACACAACATTTCTTTGCAAAGTTATAGAATTTATAAGAAGAGCCCTAAATTAATTTTTTCCTTTCTTATTTCTGCAGCTTTGAGCTGACAATGAACAATTTAGGGCTCTTCTTATAAATTCTATAACTTTGCAAAGAAATATTGTGTAGAGCTGGGTGATGTTTCATTTTAATCAGAAATTTGTGCGCTACAATCCCGAACTGCTAAGAAAGACTTGGGTTATTTTTTGGGGTTTCTGAAAAACTGGTTTTCCAGCAGACTCGATCTTCGAAGAGCTATGGGGGAGTCCCATGGTCATATTCGGAATCAGCATGGTCGATAACCTATAACCCACTAGATGTCGATCAGAAAACGATTTATCACCTCGGGAAGTTCCCTCGTTAGCTTCATAAAAGGCATTTTCTTAGCTTAAGTTTCCCAAAAGATTTTTGAGGATGCCCAAATTTTTTTGAGTAACTCCTATCCAAACGAGTTGGCGTATTTCCACCCCTTCTACCTCCCAAATCAAAAACGCTGGTTTATGTCACGACTACGGTTCATTGAATAAGAAAAAACGTTTTAAGATTGAATAATCGTTCAAGAGCTCCCACTGTCAGGAAAATTGATTTTAAGATTTATTCTTAACTGAAAATCCTAAAGTGTGTACCTCCGAACACGCTATAGATTTTTACTTGAACGATGGCTTTTGATAGGTTTTTGCAAAGGCATTGGAAATAAGCAAAATCATTTTTTTTCACTTTTTCATTGATTCAGTTTATCAACAGACGGATATGTTTTCGACCACGTCTATGCGATGCATCTATTTCCCAGATTTCTCGTATATTTTAGGTGCGACATGCACCATGTTAGCTCTAAAATGACGAGAAAATTTGTTCTTGGTTAAGTCATTTTCCTCAAAGTTTTATCTCAAAAATTAGAAAAATTCTTCACTAATTTTTCTTTCTGAATTTTTCTAAACGTAGAATCTAAAATCTGGCTCTATTAAGTCATATCCCAAAAGTTTCTCATTATTTTAGGACCAACGTGGTTCTTGCAGCACTTAAAATATACGAGAAATCTGGGAAATACAAGCATCTACTTTTTAATCATTATATTAGATAATTTTGTAAACATGCAAATTTTCAAGCTTAAGAGGAGGAGGGGATCCCCATTTAGATTTTTCTCTAACGTTCCCGGTTTGTAGAGGACACTTCGAAGCATATGTCCTGAATTTTTTTCGGCTTACTGACATTATTTGGCTGAGAAAAAGATTAACTACTTAAAATAATATTGTTAAATTTTTGAACAAGGGATTATTATTAAAAACATTCCTTTCCATTCTCCATTCATCACAAAAGCTTGATTCTTGCCTAGATCGATAGAGAAATGTCTGGAGAATATTTATTATGAGAAAATATGCAAGAATTTTTGTTCTTTCCTTTCTAGTATCGACTAATTAGTATTAATTAACGTTAGTTTAGCCTACTCTACTAACATAAAGTCTAATTTGTAAAATAGCAACGCAACAAAAAAATTCAAGCAATACCTCATCTTACAGAGAATTTCACAGGCTACAATATGGACTACCTTAAAAATTTTAGAATTTGTTTTTGGTCGCTCGGTAAGTCGAAAATTTAACAATATTGTTTTAAGTAATTAGTTTTTTCCCCAGCCAGATAATTTCAGTAACTCGAAAAAACTTCAGGACATATACTTCGAAGTGTCCTCTACAAATCGGGAAGGCTTGAAGACAAAATTCAAAACTTGAAAATATCGTTGGTTTTTGGCACACCGAAGATTTTTTTACCTAATCTTACGGCTAGTTTCGCCCGAACCAACCATTTTGAAGCAAAACTCTGAGCGCAAAAGTTGTTCAGAATCGAATTTTGGAGTCACTAACGAGAACTTCTTTTAACATTTTTTGTTTTTGACTTTTAAATTAAATTTTACGACTTTTTAAAATTTTAAAATTTAATATTTTTCAATTATAATATCAGAAACCGAAAAGGTTAAAAAAGCTCTCGTTAAGGACTCCAAAATTCGATTCTGAACAACTTTTGCACTCAGAGTTTTGCTTCAAAATGCTTGCTTAGAGCGAAAGAAGCCGTAAGGTGAGATGAAAAATACTTTTAGCTCTGAAGTTTCCTCCGAAAGCTGAACGTTAAATTTCTGCGTTAAACTTCATTAGGAAACGATGAAAGAGATTTCTCCTTATACAAATTGATGTTCTCTATCGAACTACCCTAGAATCAACTTTTCATATTAAAAAATGAGGTTTTTGTTGAAATTTTAAAAATAGAGCAAAAATCCGAAAAAAACTTAAAATGTTTTTTTATCAAAAGTTATAAATCCGGTAACCGAAAGCTTTGTTGAGACATATACTCCGAAGTGTCTTTCACAAACTGGTGGGAAAAAACGGGTGGGGGAAGTCCCTCTTAAATGCTTATTCTAGTCTGTTCTAGAGGAGACTAACATTCTGTGAGAATTTTGTCCGAATTTTTCGTTTTGAATAGAAAATAGATCTCTGACAAGCGATCCTTAATTAAGATACATGCACATATATGATTTCCCCCAATGGCGTATCCAAGGGGGCGGCAATTGGGCAAATGCCCAATGCTCAGAAAAAGTTTGCCCAATCGGATTTTTTAAAGGCTAGAGTTTGCCCAACGACTTTCGGGCAAAGCCGATTT